TTTATTTCTCTTATGTTCAATTTTACTACTGTGACTTTGAGCTCTCTTTCTACAGTTAGAGGAATGAATGCTTGCTTAATTTTTTGTAGGGATATGTAGAATCTAGGTAACTGAGGAGTGCCCATGTCACCTAAGAAAAACTCCATGACATTTGTTCATATTTTCTTTATCATTGTTTATATTGGGGCAAAATCGTGTGTGTGTGTGTGTGTGTGTTTTCTGAGTTACCACTGAAAAATTTTTAGTGACCTATCTATTTCTCTTCCCACCCCAAAATAGGAACTCAACTAATATAGAAGCATGAAAAACTTAAGAAGTATGACAAATTTAATGTAATTTTACAATGATGTAGGAAAGCTTGATGGTAAAAGGAGATGAATGTGAATTAGTGAAAAAAGTAATTACGATTTAAAATAATGTTCTATCACTTTAAAGAACAGAAACCACTTCTCTCATCCCGTTTTAAAACAAGATTTAAAAAAAACAAAACCCTGCTTTTCTTGGTGACAGCTACTGGTGGGTCCTGTTTCTTTAACTGAGTGCCCTCTTCATGCAGTCTTGGAAAAAAAAATGCCACAGGCCCTGTTTTGCTACTAGCAGGTATTTATTTTATGTCTAAACCTTGTTTAATTTAAATGCTGAATTTAGTACCATGCAATAATTTGCATGTGTCTATTACAGAACTCACACTGCCCACATGTGCAAATTAGGCACACATTGCAAAATTTTGCACATAAAAATCCTCTTTTGGGTATTTTGACTAAGTAGTTCTTTAGGAGAAAAAAAAAGGTGCTTAATAAATTGCTCAGAACATTGAGGGTGAATTTATAGACAAGATCTACTACTCTCTTATGCTTCATACTATAAATAAAAAAAAAATGAACATAATAGTACCAAAAAAATAAGATTTAATCCTTACAAAATATTTTATGTACAGAGAGATCCATAACATCACTTGATTTAGATTCTAAAAAATAAACTGATAAAAATACATTAAAAATTATTTTTGTTTCTGTTCAGTCGGTATTCATTTTAAAATAGTAACTACCACGTTGTAAGCACTCACTTTGTCCCAGATGCTACCTTAAGTGCTGGCTATGTATTATTTTACTTAATCCTCATGACTCTAAGGCAGGCACTCATTTCATGCCCCAATCACAGAATGGAGCCACGGAGACTTAAAGCACACAGCTCAAAGAACACCGGAAACTGCTTCCACGTGCAGGTGATGGCCAGTTAGAGGTTCAAGAAACCAATTTCGGAAATCACTGTCAGCATAAGAAAATTAAACAGAATAAAATAGAATAGAACAGAACAGAATAAAATAGTACAGAAAATAGCTCAGGGTATCACTGATAGGGAAAGCATTATTTTGTGAGACTTCTTCTAAATACATAGGTACATATGTATGTGTGAACTAATTCTTAATGTTAAAGGATACTTTTCACTCTGCTTTGTGGCTTAAATATACATATAAAATATTAGCTATGCTGAAATCAAAAGCAATAGCAATCTGATTCTAAAGGGTTGAAAATTATAGCTTAATTTTTAAAAGCTATGAATAGTGACTATCATAGGATGAAAGATACATGTTGGCCCATAGTTAAATATTCTACTTCATTTTTAAAATTCATGTTACAAGGAGATTAATTCTCCTTCTATCAGATTGATAGAACTCAAAACAAAAAATAATATAAACACAAAAATCTCATTTATTTATGTCTAAAGCACAAAGGAGCTCACTCAGCAGATGAACAATAAGCAAATCATACATATATTGAGAAAAAATGTCCCCATGAATACATACACATATATATTCTTCAGGGCAGCAATCAAGAGTTCAACAACATGAGGTGGTTTTAGATAAAGAATGCTTTCTGACAGGCTTTTGAGTAGGAAATGTCCAGGTAGACTACTGCCACACGACACCTGGTATTCAATCACTTGAAACCCAAGGACTGTGAAAGCCATCTTGGAATTTATATTTAGTTTCATCATTGACCTTTAGAGTTTTGCATTTTAGTAAGTTTAGACTTGATTTACAAACTAACCCCTCAACATTTGATGTCTCACATCTAGGGCTGAGGGAGAAAAGGGAGGAGAGGCTGGGCATGAAAACATGCATTAGGACCAATGCTAGGGTTTCCTAATAGTGTCTGTTCATTTTTGCACTTCTTTCCATGCTTTTCCTTTAGAGACATTAAAATGTGCCAGGGTTCAAAGTCATACTAGATGGCTAGGTAAATGGAAATTGCAAATGTCTCCTTTAAGCCTCAGGGGATAAAAAACAACTTAAAAATTCACAATATTCCATACCATTTAAAAATTATTTCAAGACATTGCCCATAACACATTTATTAGTCCATCTTTTAATAACTCAGAACTCTCTTTTTAAACACGTGATTCTTTCTGGCATCATCATCAACTTTAAAAATAGGGCAACAATGTAAAGATGTCCAGCAGGCTACAGAAGCCCCGATTCTGGATATCTTCTCTGTGTAACGCAAGATGGAACTGATACAACGTGCCTTCCAGCTTGCCTTTAAGGTTTTCCATATGTCTGGTTCTGAGATGAAAAGTTCAAAAATAGGAAGAGTCTGGGAGTGAAGATTCAAAATGTATTGCTGGATCTCACACCCATTGTTTCCTCTCTGACATCTCAGCTGCAGCTGCCGACAGGGATATTCAAGGGCACACCTCAAAACCAGCTAAGCGTAACAGGAGTGTTTTCCCACCGCTTTCTTTTCTTTACCATGCAGAATTCTCACAGAAGTAAAAAAGAGAGTCAGTGGGGTTCGATACTGACAATATGAACTTAGTAAGACCTCCTCCCGGCACGAAGGAAGTTTGTTCCAAGATATTCTCTTGGATTCTAAAGTCTTGGACAATGAAATCAGAGAAGAAACTGGGAGAATAAATAAGGGAGCATAGTCTCCGTGGTCTCAGTTTACAATGACAACCTCTCATGCCTTAATCCCACGTTTCACTCTCTTTTGAAAATTGAATTCACCTTAGCTGATAGCCCGCTTTTGTGTTCTGGACGCAAAAATATTTTTTAAATGTATGATAGTCAATCGCATTAAATATGGTTTAACTTGTTAAAGTATATTCCATTAAAAATACCATGAAACCTAAGGCAAATAGTACAGGGTGTGGTGAGGGGGCTGATAAGAAGTTTTAATTCCTTCTTCCCTGTCAGAGAGCAAAATATTCAAACACAAAGTGACAAATAGGATTGCCTCTCCACAATTCAGAAAGTTAATTCACATTAGGCCAAGGCAACATTTCAAAGTGCAGAACATCTGGACACATATATGGCTAATAGTACTGCAAAAAGCATATACAACATTCAAAAACAGCAATTATAGAAATAAAGCACATAAGTTCTAAGTGATGCAGGGAGATCAAAGTACATGTAAACATTTCAACACATTCTATTTTAATAGAAAAGATATTCAGGTCTTAACATACTATCAGGGATATATTTACTGTTTGATGGAGTGGTTGTATATGGCCATTCTTCCTGTTTTTGATGCTATACTTACTTATATTTACTGCATATCAATCCTAAATATAAATGAAAGCTAATGTTCGACCTCAAAATGTACACCCTTACAGAAGGTAAAAGTGTAGGATCTTGCAAAGGCTGGGAAAAGCTGCTGCCTATTCGTGAATCTTCACATCTCATCCAAATTCTTAAGCTCACTCATGTCTGTTAGACACCAGGTAACCAAGTTCCTTTGGCACGGACTGGGAGATAAAGCAGAAAACACTCACTGGCACTATAGAGAAGTGGGGAGAAATTTAGTGGGCATCTTTGACATGGTTCAGGAATTAAGAATTCTAGAAATACAGTCAGTGAGACTAGAGGTTGGATTTACTGAGTTCCTTAATATCCTAAAATACTCAGTCGTTTTTTAAAAAGTAAGACCAAAAATTTGTTCCGTCTTTTGGTGTAGTATATATACAATCAAATCTAGAATTGTTTCTACCAGGAAAAAAACTGGGCAAATTACTGCTGAATTAGTATGACTACATGAGAATAAAATTTATAGTATGAGAGGGGAAATTTTGTTCTTAGTTCTGTAAATACAGAGTTAACTATGTAACATAAAGTTCTCTTCTATAAAGGAATAATGAGTCACATCTAATCCTTAGGTATGTATTGTGATATATTTAAAAAATTACTCTTTTTCTTGTTAGTTTACAGTATTTGAAGTTAAATGAAAAAATATCATATTTAAATAACATTCACATCAATATTTCTTAAGGATTTATCATAGTCATAATTTGTTTTTAATACTAGGTTATAGGCAATAACACTAATTATGTAAGCAGCATAAAAATACTCTTTGCTTTATTTAATGTCCCTGATGTCTAGTACAGATTAAGTCCTATTAATATAAACATTAAGTGGGATGTCTATATATTTTTCATTATATTAAAATTTTAATGTCCTGAAATTATTAGGAATTAAAAAGGCAATAGGATAAAATTGAAAAATAGAATGCTCTCAATATGCAGAGTTTAAAGATTTTTAATTATATTTCTTTTAATAGGATTTGTCCTTCATTTGAAATTTCTAACAGGTTGATATCTGGGTATGAAATTTCCAGCGACTATGGCATAGTTCTTGGGGAGAATAGGTCATTGCAATGAAACCCTTCCTTTTAGTATTGACAGTTCCTGAATCCCCAGCTCTTGCCCCACTTTATAAAGAGTTTAGTCTACACAACAGTTGCGTATGGGGTGTGTTTCTCTTCTAATAAAACTGAAGCAATAATAGCATCACATAGTTATACACTAAGATGATTTAAAGTACACAAAAATACAACTATTTATGCCATATAGTTATATGAATAATATTCCTAAGAGACTTTAAATCTTTAATACCCAACTTCTGTCAAACACTTTGAAGCACAGAACTATATTAAGAAAGCATGTGGCATTCAATTTCTGACAATTCATCTCCAAAGAAGGCAAAGCACAACAATAGCAAGTCTCTGAGATGCAAATTGCATTAAGCACAAATTTCCAGAATACAAAGTCAATCTAGAAACATGTTTTAAAACTCAGCAAGTTCTCTTTTTTAAATCAGTATGCTCAGTATTTAATTTTCAATTACAATCTGAAGTGATTTTTCCAATTTTTGTTCTTAATCTAACTTTTTTCTCCCTCATAAAAATATACTCACTGATTCATTTTCTGTTTCCAGTTTTCACATTTATCAGCTCAAAATGTCTAGCCTCATAGGAACATCTTTTCTCTCCACATTTCCAAACATGAAGTAGATTTTACTTAAATCTCATAAGAACACTACTAGTAATAACATTTCCTTACGTTTGAGCTTAAAGTAAATCTGAACAGCTCAGAAGGGAGAAATTTCGAATCGTCCCAACCAGAGAGCTAAGAATTAGTGCAACTTCCTTCGATTTGTCAAGTGAATACTGTAACTAGACACAGAAAGGGATAGTCATCCCAAGAAAAAGGTACTATTTTTTGACTTTCTAACTCTGCCTGGGCATAAGCGAGATGCAGAACCACGTTATCCCAGTACTGCTGGATGCTGAGAGCCTTAGACTGAGCTGGAAAAGGGAACCACCTGCTTGCCGCCCACATAAACCTCCTCAATATTTCGGTCATCTCCTGAAAGAAAAATCAGGGAATCATTTATAAAGTGCTTCTGTGTCGATAAATATTTTAATTGTCACTGGGAGAGATTTAAAAGCAAACACATTTCTAAGAGAGAAAATAAAAAAAAAACTGCCTTTTTTTTCCTCTCAGATTGTTTATAATCTGGACAGGAAGGCACGACCAATAGAAGAGGCTGCATCTAATTTGAGGATTGGGGTGTGAATTCTGCACTAAAGGCAGAAATCGCGTAAAGTTTTGTCGACCTGTTATCACTGTCCTTCCAGCTGAAGTGAGGGGTTTGCACTTCCAGTTCCAATTGTAAAGGAATACTTATCTTTATACCCCAGAATCATACTCAGCATGGTGAGATGAAGGACCAGCAAGAACTGAGCTCCACAAGAAATGTGTCTCTCTCATCTCAAGTTCACTCAGGACTCAGAGGTCACTCAATGGAGTGGGAGGCCCGGAGTAGAATCTTCTGCACGATTTCTTTCTTTCTGAATGCAACTGTATGTGAGTACTTGAAAAAGCATGTGGGGTGAGACTCCACCACATACATATCACAGATACAACCTGGTAGCACAGCTTGGGGAGTAGAGAAGGAGTGTAGGAGGAAGGGACAGGATGATCGCTTCCCCTTGGCCTGCCATTCCTCAGTTTAAAATTTATGACTGTAATTCTAGGGGAGCATGCGCATTTTAAATAGTACATTTACTGTGCCATAAATGGGTTTCATACTGAGGAATGTTAAAAAAAAAAAAAAAAAGTAAAGCAAATGATCACACATAGGGCTTAACATATGGTATCATAAATTCAAAGAACCATACCCAAGAAAGAGACAAAGAAAGATTTTATTTAGCATAGAGATATATTTCTACCTACCTAGATAGAGGAACTTCTGAATAATAGCCTAAAATGGAAAATAAAGGTAATAATAAGAAAGAATATTTTGTCCATTTAGAAAAGTAAATTCACAGTCAATAGTGGTCGGAAAAGCCAGAAATAGAAATTAATTTCTTAATGGCAAAATCTACTTTTATTAATAAAAAATGGTCTTTTGCTTAAAAAAGAATGCTGGCTATTAACAAATATTTATCTATTGCCTGAAAGTCCTTGGTATATCACCTTGAAATCTTCAGAAGAAAAGTGTTATATAAATTGAATAAATTAATGTAATAAAATGATTTAAATATTTTAAGAGGTGTATAATATAAGAAAAATGACTGGATGAATGGGACTGAACCTTATTCTCAGAAATCCACTCTGCAAAAGAATAAATAATATGAAAATAGTAAGTGGTATCAACTTCAAATAATCCAGCATCCTTCTTCTAAAAAACCTCAATATGTTATAGTTAGTATCACATTTACTTTCATAAGTGGATCGATTTATAAATGGTAATTTTTTAAGAAAAACTCAATGTCTTATAAAGAATTGTTATTAAAGTAAAAGAATCAATTTATTTTGTACATAGGAAAACATTTTATGATAAAAAAAAGTAATAAAACTTGTTTTCCTATAATTAAGAAAATTAATGTAGCATTGTGGTCAAGAGCCCACACTCTGGAGGTCAAAAAGTCCTAGTCTGGAATCCCAGCTCTGTCTACTAATTACTAATTACTAGCCATGTGTTCTTAGATAAATTATTTAACCTCCATTAAGCCTCACTGCCTCATAAATTACATGGCAATATCGATAGCACCTACACCTCATAAAAGTTATTGTACTGATTAACCAAAAACAATGTATGAAAGAGTTTAATCCCATGCTACCTAGCACAGAGCAAGTGTGTTCAATTATGGCTTCTTATAGCCTAATATATTTAATTATACAAATACATTCAAAATACGAATATTTTGTTAGTAGCATTTTTGCTAACATTATTGTCATGAAATAATAATTTGAAAGAATCTATCTTCCCTGTTAAGATTCTCCCGCATTCCAATAAAATGTTTCAGTTTCTTTTTTTTTTTTTTCTATAGGGAAGCTATTGTGACTACTTCATGAAATAAATGCCTTTTGATTAACTTTCTTTTACTTACCTCAGAAATATCACCAACAAAATCTCCATAAAACAGGTCAATGGGAGAGTCAGATGCTTTGGGGTTGATCAAGAGGGCATCAAATTCCTTGCCCACTTCAAAGTTTCCAATCTCTTTATCCAGCCCCAGGGCTATAGGGTGGAATAAATTAACAAACAGTCAGCACTTTAAGCCATCAGACCATGCCAATGTCCCATTTTGTAAGGACAGAATTTGCCAACATGTCACTAGAAAAAAAATAGTATGTTAATAGTGAAGCAGGAACGTTCTCTCATTCCAATAGGTCACCAAAACTTTGACTTTCAGAAAGCAGAGTAAGCATGAGGAAAGCAAAATCTGAGAATTAAAACAGTTCCCTTCATCACCATGATCATAATTCTGATGGTGTCTCTCTATTTCAGCTCTGTCAGTGTACTTCACAGTCCAGCTGGTCTATGATTTTCATTCATCCCTCTGAGAAACATGACAATTGACATAATATCTTTCTTCTTTTTCCTTCCTGTTCTCCCCACCAACACTCCAAGTCCTTTTCTTGCCCTTTTTATTCTTTTTGTTCTGTGAAATAGCTGACAAGATTTTCATGGCAGTGAAAAGAACCTCGAATAAATAAAAAATAATTATCCTTTTGCACATTTGCCAATGCATGCATATCCATCATAAGTTCTTTAGTTTAAACCCTTTGAATAGAAAAAAATCACTTCTGAAAATAAAAAGATCCTCATAACTTAGAGTCCCAATCCTTTTGAAAGCAGACCTACTTCTTCGTAACCTCAAACATTTTCTGGTTTTCAGAGAATTGTGTTCTAAAATAGGGTAGAGGTCAATAATGTCTATTGATTGGATCCATCTCATAGCTAGAATTCATATGCCATTAATATTGGATGCTGAAGAAGAACATCTCTCATTTTTATGGTTTCGTTTCAGAAGATGGGGATAGTTGGCTTTCCTGGTCAATGAAGGCATTGAATCTAAAGCTCCTCAAAGCCTGTAATTTAAGTAAAGTGTACACCACTGAGATACTAAATGGAAGCATGCATAAAAGGAGGGTCATCTGGAGTGCAGCATTATTTATTTATTTTTTTACATGTATTTGTTGTATTCTAACACTGTCGGGATATAGTCCAATGTGAAAATATTGGATTGCATATTCCTGTAAGATAATGTGTGATACATTATATTTCTATGTATGAATATCCAGAAGTCTTTTAACAATACTCTCAGCACTGACTTAGAAATTTGACTTGTTCTTAAAAAGTTATTTAAAGAGCAACTCTTTTATTCTCAGAAAAGATTTTTTAGCTAAAAACTTATTATAGGGAGACAGAGGTGCAAAAATAGAGATGTTAAAAGCAGTTAGGTGACTTCTAATTCTGTTGGGAAGGACCGAAGTTAATAGAAAATCACTGGAAATTCTCCTCCTTCACCGATTACACTCTACTTTCTGCCTTTGACAAAAGCATTACGAATATCAGTTTTTAATGACCGTTTTCAACATAAAATCATTGTGTGCTTAATAGTCCAGATAGCCAGCTTCATTTGCCAGAGTTTGATTATATGTATAAACTAACTGAGCTATTTGTTAGAACCTCGAGAGTTCAGGCATGAACTAACCAAAAAGATGTAATTGCTTTTGGTGAATTTATAAATTGATCTAAATTCAGATTATTGCAGAGAGGCCCACCTGGGCTGGTAAGCAACTGCAATGCATTTCAAAACATACAGTTTTGCTGCCTTTGGAGCAAATGCTGGTTTTTAAAGGCAGTTTATGCACATCTTGAATATAAAGGCCATGGCAAGCTAGGAAGATACTACACTTTAAACATGGATCCATTCATTTCATTTCACTCAGATTCTGGTAGAGACACAAGTTAAGGAGAAGAAATTCCATAACCATGAAACCAGCAGCCCGGAAAATAGATTTGAAAGCTATATAACAAGGTAGAAATGCTTTGGTAAGCACCCCATTTGGCTTGATCAGCCAAAGGATCCTGATGAAGCAACTTATAGAGTCTAGAATAATAATAAAAAACACTATTTAAATACAACTCATTTGCACGAGGTAAATAAGATGGTTGACTAACTGTTTGAACTCAGATGCACAAACATAGTGGGGTGGAGGCTGGAAGCATCACAGTTCTTAAAAGAATGGGTGATTTGAAATGTGGAACTTGAAATGAAATCCTAAAACTTAGGAAAATGCAAAGAGTATGACCTCTACTTGTTTTTCTTAAAAGATTCTTTATGGCATTCATCATAGCCCAGAATACTCAAAGAAGAGCCAAGAAGTTTCTCTTCCTAGGTTACTCTTGGTATCCATCATTTTCCATTTCTAAGACTCAGGGTATCTATCACATATCGACATGTACATCCATAACTGTCTCTATACCTATGTTTTTACTCCTCACTCGCTACCCAAGTTTTCATGCTGTGTTTGCTCTCACCCATCCAGATTATACCACAATACTAAAGTGACTGAAAGCAATACAATTGCCAATTTCTATTTTTTTCCATAAAAATACAGTTACATGTGAGAACTAGGAAAAGCTCATGAATAATATTTACATATCGACCAACTATATTATTCCATCTTTCTCCATTTAAAGAGACTTGGGTAATCAGTGTACTTAAATATATAAACAAAATGCATAGTCTAAGCTGGGATTTTTACAAGAAGATATCACAGCTGAAGAGAAAGAACCTACACACTGACAACAGATTTTCTGATTTCTAATCATGGCACTCTATAGCTTGACAACCACGTAAGCCTCCCTCAGTTACCTTATTGGTAAAAAAAAAAGAGAAAGAAAGAAATAATAACAGTTGTTATGAGGTAAGTAACAACATATATAAAGTATATGGCATAGTGCCAACTCAGTAAGTCTTGGCTATTATTTTTACTATCATCATCATCACTATCATCATCACTCAGGCCAATAGAGAGCATGTTGCTTGACTCAATGGTAAACTGATTATTTTTAAAAATTTGTTATGGATATGACCAATGCAAATATCCATTAAAACAATATGATAATCATGTGTTGAACATCTCTTCTGCCAAAGACAGGGATCTTGCTGAAAGAATGATGTCTATATCACATGCTTGAAAATGTGCTTGACTTGCTAAATTTTGGGCGAATGCTATGTGAGAGGCAACAGTCATAAATATTGGATGCCTGCTGATGCCACTAACATGTACCTTCATACTGCATCCAAGGACACAGATTGGCATGGTTGTACATTGTTAGAGAGACAAATAAAATGGTTATTACCTTGGCTGCCTCCAAGAGTAGCTAGTCTGAAGACCTCTTTGAGAGTGAGACTTTTCATATTTATCTTATTAATTGAAAGGATATTGGAAACCATCACTGCTCTTCTGATTGCATCAAGCATGGAAGATGAATAACCACCAGCCACATCTATGGTAGATAAAATAAAGCCGAAACAGTAACTTTATGAAATAAATGGCATATTAAGTATAGCAGGTTGGGTATGTTTTTGTTTGTTTTTAGTGACAAATATTCAGTCTTTAATATACTTCAGAGAAAAGATCTTATCTATAAATACAGAATAGACACACACTAACATTTAAAGGAATTCAAAATCTGCAATTATTAACAATGTACACCTGTATTAGTTTCCTAGGGCTGCTGCAACAAATTACCACAAATTTGGTGGCTTAAAACAGCAGAAATTTATTCTCTCACAGCTTTGGAGGGCAGAAGCCTTAAATCGAAGTGTTAGCAGGGCCATGACCCTTATAAAGGCCCTAGAGGAAGAATCTTTCCTTGCTTCCAGTTTCTAGTGGCTCTTGGCATTCCTTGGCTTATGGTAGTGAAACTCCAATGTCTGACTCCATCTTCTAATGGCCTTCTTCCCCTTGTGTCATTGTGTGTCTCTCATTTTCTGTCTCTTACAAGACATTCATCATTGGATTTAGGGCCCACACTAATACAGAATGATTTTCTCTTGAGATCCTTAATTATATCTGCAAAGATCTTTATTCACATTTACATGTTCCAGATAGACATCTCTTGGGAGAGAGTTGGTGAGAGGCACACAATTCAACCCAGTACAGTATGTCCAAATGGTTAATAAAATTAAGAGAAGAAATTCTTATCTCTGACTATTCCCAAAACTTTCACAAAGATTGATCAACCATGCCTGCCTAGTTATAAAGATAATTTAGATAACATAATATGAAATTTAAAATAAGCTCCGTTTTATGCTCTAAAAAATCTGTCCTACTTCTATTCTAATTCAGATGAGAACTTTGGGAATTAAAAAGGCACTTATTTATGATAATTCTAGAAGAAGAGCTTTTAGAATGAACCGATATATTCTGTAAAATTAGTATAATAAATTAGCAATGCTGATGTAGACAGCTTTATATGTTTATTGGCATCATCTGATGAGGAATGAGATTTTTAGTGATTTAAAAAATACATTTTCTCATCATCTTTAAATTGAAATACTACCTCTGACAAGAATAAATGTAGGAGCTACCAAAAGACTGTATAAAAAAATGTCAAGTGAGTTAGCATGTTTTATCAGAGGAAGAGTATAGCTAAAAAAAATACTTTATACTTCAAGGCTTCTTTCTGTCATATATATTGCAATATATATCTGTGTGTGTGTGTGTGTGTGTGTGTATCAAAAGTAATAATAACCTACCTATTAATAATCCTAGATTGCAGTTCAATTTTATGTTCGACTGTCTTCTACATCCTTAGATAAACTTGTATAAAACTTTTTCCCCCATCTTTAATTCCCACCACCCCTCACTTCCACCCCTGACCTATGGATGTTGCCATTTCCCCTTAAGAACTGGATCTCTGAAGGCAGGGAGTCTCCTCCCACACGCTCGGGGCGTGCACCCTGGGCCTGGCCCACCTGGGGTATGGTCTGTGGCTCCACCTGGGGTGCTGAACTCAGGACCTTCTGCATGTAAAGCAGACGTACTAACCACTACACTATAGAGCCACCCCCCAGTATAAAATTTTTTAAGAAAAGCTTTTCTTTAACTAGAATGGTATTCTTGAGGATCATTCACTTCCCTGACAAGTTTTATTATATTTACTTAAGTTATTCGTCCATTTTAGCACCATATATTAAAACTACATTTTACCATAGTATCAAACTAAGAAAACAAATAAGATTTGGGAATAATACACATTAAGCTTTGAAATACTTTGTCTGCTGCCTTTTCTTTATTCCTAGAACAAAGAAAATGTTAAATGTAAAGACAGAACGAAAATGCTATCACTATATGGTATGGAAACATGTAAAGATTAAAAATATATTTCAAAATATGTGGATAAAGACTGGAAAGAAACTCACACATACAAAAAAGCAATGCTGTTATGATGGTGTGAATATGAAGATTTAAATACAACTATAAAAACATGTTTTAGAAAATAGGACAGAAAGTAGTATTTTCCTCAATATTTCATTAAAACCATCCATGTAGAAACAATAAGAACAGATTAGGAAACAATGCTATGCAATTTATTGAGAATGTTTGAGAGTTGTCTTATTAGATTGCTGCCTTATATGATGATTTAATCATCCTATATTCTTCTGGTTGTTATGTTACTAAAGTAACTTTCAACGAAGGAATTATACAGTGCAGATCAAAGAATAAACTCTGGACCACACAAACCATGATATTTAGTCACAATTCTTCTCTTCTAAGAAACTTCATTGTGTTTGTAACTTCCTGACCTCTGCCCTGTCAGATGAGTTCAGTGGCTTCACCTTCCCTCTGCAACACATTTAATACAAGTAGAATCCCTACTTTATCATATAACAAGAGGTAGTGTAATGGAGTAGAAAGAGAAACAATGAACATCACATTTTACCAACCTGGTTTTAAACTGTGGATTCGGAACTTTCTTGCTTCGTTGACCTTAGTTACTTAGTACCTATGAACCTCAATTTTCTCAGAAAATAGAAATAACATCACCTGTCTCAACAGGTACTGAAAAAAAAATCCAGTTAAGTAACATAAGAGCTGAGGAATAATTACTAAAGGGTAAAAACTATATGAGGGAGTGGTGGAGAAAAATGAATTCATTTTCTCAGAAAATCTATTCCCAACCCTATGCCCCTCTACCATTGTGAATGGTACTATCATTTGCTTACCAGAGTCAACATAAGGGTGCTATTATTTACAAGAAGACTCTAAACAAACTACACAGGAGTAAAAACTTGAGCCAGAGGGCAATGAAAAGATAAAAGGAAATGATTTTGTACGTGTGTGTCCATTTCTTATGCATTCATTTATCAACGGTCATTTACTAAGCATCTTTTATGTGCTTGATTTATTTAAGCACTCATAAATAGAAATTATGGGCTCCACATGCACTAAGTATCTAGTGGAAGAGAAAGAAAAGACATATAAACAAATATTAACTGCAAATTGTGTTCAGTTAGTGATAGAGAAGACAGAGGTGGAAAGCCCATTTGGACAGAATAGTCAGAGAAGACTTCATTAAGGCAATGGCATTTAAACTAAGACAGGAATGAGAAGAACTCAGCCATGTAAAAAGAGGCATAAAGGGCATTCTGGGCAAAGGAATAGAATGTGGTAGAAGAGAGTGTGACTTAGAGAGGGGATTTAAAGATATCCCGTGGAAGACGGAGAGAGAGGTGGGAGATGAGGCAGGGAGGTAGATGGGTATCAAACCATGCAGAGATTTGTTGGCCTTATAAAGAGGCTTGCATATTTAAAATCTCACTGAAGGATGGTAAGCAGGTGGGGGTGAAATGGTTGGATTTTCATTGTGATTCTTCTGAAAAGAGAAATCTGAATTAGAAGGGCCTAAGATGAATATGAGACCAATTAGGAAGCTAGTGCAGGAGTTGAGGCAAGAAACAATGGCAGTTTGCATCAGGTGGTAGTGGCTGATATGGAAAAAAGGGATATAGTCAGAAAATATTAAAAAGCCATAAGGCTGGGCAGTGTACTGGTTTAGACGTGGGAGAGATGCGAAGGGGAAGAAGGTCCCAAAGACAATGCTCAAGTTTCTACTTTGAGAAATGGAATTCTCTGAAAAGGAGAGCCATTTAAGAGAACCAGGCTTAAAACTGTTTGGGGATATAGTGACCTTTGGAGGTTCTATGAGGAAGGGTCAAAGAGGAAGGGGAAACTAAGCAATTGAGTATGCAGGTTTGGAATTCAAACAGGAGTCTGAGCTGGATATGATCTGAGTCATCTGCATACATGTGATTGTGTAAAGCCATGGTTATGAATGATGTCTCCTAAGAAGAGTGTAAAATATACTGTAAAAAGAGGAGAGATCCTAGGACTGAGCCTTGAGGAAAGCTTTTAAATGGCCAGGGAAAGGAGAGAGGACCTTCAGAGAAGATAAAGAAAGGCTGCAAAAAAAAAAAAAAAAAGGAAGGGACACGGGAATAAGTGTAGTTTCCCTGAATCTAAGATAAGACTGTTTAGACAAAGGAGAGAGTAGTCAACCATGGCAAATATTGCTCAGAAGTCCATTATAATAAGGATAGAGTGGTGTCCTTTGCAGTTGGCAGCAAAACAGATCACAGTGACAATAGCCCAGAGGAGAAAGGACAAGGATAGTTACCATGGAGGGTGGGGCAAGAAGCCAGCCCGAAGTGGGTGGAGGAATGGAAGAGTGCCTAGAAAGTGGTAGCAGTGTGGGTCGTAGTGAAGAAGTTTTGCTAGAAGGGAAGAAGAAAGGCGGGGCAGGAACCCAAGAGGGTCTCTGATAAGAGAATTTTTTTTTTAAGTGACCAGAAGATACTAGAGAATATTTGTGTGTTTGTAGGAATAATCCAGTAGGGAGGAGATAATGAGGATGCAGGAGAGTTAGTATCCCAAGTAATTAATTTATTGAGATACTGGAAGAAGGAAAGAATACAGAACATACCTCAGGGTATTTTGAGTTTTGCCTTAAATTGGAAGACGGATTGGGGGGTGGGGTTATTATGAATAAAGCTGGTATAAACATTCTTGCACAACTCTTTTTGCAAACATATGTGTTCATGTCTCTAGGGCAAATACTCCAAAATGGAATTACTGGGTCAGATATAGATGTATATTTAACTTTATAAGAAACTTCCAAACGGTTCTCCAAAATGGTTGTATCATTTTCCCTCCCTTCAGTTGTGTATGAGAGACTACATGCTGCTGCTGCTTTTTTTTTTTTTTCGGTTTCCTTCTTACATTTGAAAAATTTCCTTTTCCCTCACAACTGTGATCTTTTCATAGTACCATGTCTTCTTGTATTCCAAGGATGATGATAGTTTTCTGAAATTCTCTTCTGGATCCTGAAGTAGATCATTTTCAGAGATATGCTCATTTTTTTATTCTTTTTGATACTGCTTTCCTTGTTTTGCAATATTTTCATTAAGCTTCATGTGGGTTTCCCCTATCTAACATTTGAGCAAGTCTTGATCTGCCTATACTTGTTATAGATATGGTGAATGAACAGCTCTTGAACCTACCCTCTTTCCACAGTATCAGGTTAAATAATCTTCTAAAGTCTAAGAATGAAGGACACGTTGATATACAAAGGTCATGTTTAAGAAATAGTGGAGTATAGGGTAGCTACTGCAAGAAAGTATGTAAAATTCAACATTGTTCTTCAACTTAATAAACGAATACATTATATTTAACCAAACATTTGCTCAATACACCAATGCTGTTCTTTTTCTTTTAAGCCTATATTTATTGATTAGTACAATGTGCCAAGTGTGTTCTTTTTCTTTTAAGCCTATATTTATTGATTAGTACAATATCACATGGTTTTTTATTTAAGCCTCAAAATAAGCTTATAAGAAGACATTATAATTTTTATTGTTAATAGAAATTAGGAAATGAAGCCTAATTTGTTCAATGTCGTATAGCTAATAAGTGACAGTTAAAGCTTTATCTAATTTTTTTAAGCCATAGCTATACAACCTAAAGTCAAGAACTAGAAGCCATGTGATGAATTTAAATCATAGAGACCAAACTCCTAGAAAATTTGAAAGCAATACCTACCTGGTTTAGACATGAGAGAGAGGCAAGCAGACATTTTTTCATGTCTGCTAACTTTTTTACTAATTGACTATAGTGTGTAACAAAAACTCTTAGCCATTTTTTTTTTTCTTATCCATTAAAACTTTTCTGTGAAGGTAAAATAACCAGTTTCCTGCCTTAACACCTGTGACCATATCTAGGTATTACATAATCTCAATGATTCAAGGCTTACATTAGAATTTTTTAAAATCTTTTAATTCCTTTGATTCATGTAAAACGTAGGAAAACTTCTAAATTACTCTACCTATTTAAAAATATTAATAAATCTCTTTGTATTTTAGTGTATCTTATCAATGAATTGCTTCATACAAAATTAACTGTGACGAGTTATTACAGAAAATGATGAAAATCACTATCAACATGCAAACATCTCAATGCTCTTAAATATCAGGAAGACAGATACATCAAGTACAGAAAATATAAGTCCTTGTGACTCACACCATTATTATTATTACTTTTTAGATCATTCACACACAATAATAAAAGCAGGCTCACAGTGGATATACCTAGACATTTGGGACTGATGCACACTTTCAAAGGGAGTAGCACTGCACACACACAGGAAAAACAATTAAAATGTACTGTGAAAAAAAAAAGAGATACATCACTAATTCATTAGCCACTAACAGTGTCCTTCAGCCTAGCAAATATCAGACTGCTCATGGGAATAGAATCTCATTTTGTTAAACACTGTTTAAAAGCAAGGCAAGTTCTTAACATAACTCAGAGTTCTCAATGCTGGCATAAGTTGAATTTGTGTTCACCATGGCAAGGTCAAATAATTTTCTTTTGACAGTATTTGTGATGACACAGTTATCAAAAACTAAAAACATACAAGCTATTGAAGCCTAGCCAGCAGGACAAAACAAAAGAGAACAAAAAAATCAAGGACTTTTAAAAAAGAGTCTCTAAAACACTTTAGAAGGACTTATCCTTTGGAGCCTAGTCTCTGAACAGTAAACACGGATAATAGCTTTTGGGAGGTTAGTGACATCAAAACGTCGTCCTTTGCATACATCTTCTTACTGCTTACAACCTCACTATTTTATTAGCCCAAGATCTTACTGCCAAATAATAAAATTAATTTTTCTTAACATAGAACTGCAACCTGAAAATGAGTTGCATAGAAAGTTATGCACCTATCAGCCACTTTGTCGTGGCTCTAAATGGCAAACCACTGACCTGTTCCCAACCCTATCTTCACTTCATGTTCCAGGACTTCCAGCACATTGAGAAAGCCGCTGCTCAGCCTGTTGAGAGAGGAGATGGTCAGAACAAGGAGACCTGTGTGGTTCCAATAAGAGAAGGACACAAACAATAATGATGGTGACATTACTGAAAATGGTATTTCCCATCACATCATTTCTAACACTGCCACAAATATATAGTCAAATCAGACCATCTGAGTCCTGGAGTAAAAATGGATCATAAAGGAGCTTTAATCCTTGGGGCTGAGGTTAATCTCAAGAGGGTACAAAGAAGCAAGAGCGAGAAGGGAAAGCAGAGGATTATTTGCAAGGAAAAATTAACGAAGAAATTAAATCTTGCAATTAGTCCAAAAGTCCTATTGGTCTTTAATATTTTTTTAACCAACCCATCCTTATATGTTAGGAAATAGAAATTATAAAGCATTGCCTTTCTATCTGGAATAATTCATTACCTTAAGTGAGTAGCAACTTGCAAGATCAAAAAGGAGTATTACTGAAAATGGGGGTGCAGACTGGTAAGTCAGGGCCTGACAGTTCAAATGCAGCCACTGAGGACAGCAGCAACTAGGCAAGATGGTTCCTGAGCTGAATTCTGGACCTTGTTACCCTGAGCTTAATAGATGTGCCATCTTTCTAAAGAAACAGAACTAAAGTGATCCTTAGAAGTCTGAGAAGATGCAAAGTTCAAAGTGGTCTGCTCAAAGATGCACATAATTATAATTTTCAAAGCCCCAACATACATGCAATAAATCTCTCAAAGCTGGTGAAGAAAAAAATAGCAGTGACCATTTAAACCGAAATGTATTCATAAAGAAATTTAACTTCAAACCTCAATTTGCAAAACTGGATGATGTTTTAATTTAGATGTTGTGTAACTAACCGAAAGGATGTCATATCCTTCCCCTATCTGGCCGCTAGACCATAATTATGGTCACTAAGCTGTTCATAGGCAAGATTTCCTGCCATGTGTGACCACTCTATGTCTGAAAACTAGAAGCCCCTGGAACCTCCCAAAACACTCCCGAAAGAAATCACTGCAGCTCTTGTGCCTTTCTCATACTGCCACTGACATCACTTTTTCATTTGCAAAGTCCCTAGACTTCAAACTCCCAGCACCTCCAACACTTTGCCAGGGCTCTTTTCAGCTGCTAGAGCCTGCTCTGCCCTTATGTGGGGAAGGTCAGAACCTCTGGGGAATCAATGCCTCTTCACCCCCACTCAGCAGTCCTCCATCAATAACTGATTGGTGTTTGGGTATAACTATCCCAGCTCCTTCCACCCTTGGGCAGGATGGCTTTGAAGTCTGCTTCATACACTGGCTCCCTGAGTTTTCCAGGATTAAACTCAGGAGCCCACAGTGGTAACTCAGTTAATGATGTGCTCTTTAAAGACTTCCTTCCCTTCTAGATCTTACTCCCAAAAAGGCATTTCTTGAGATCACCTTCCAAATAAACTACTTGTACGCAAATCCTCGTTTTATGGTCTGCTTGTACAAACACTCAAAACAAGAGAACACAAGTAATCCTCAAAAAAACCTAAAATCTAGCAGAAGTTAAATAAATTTTTTGAATGAATATATGAATGATCCATCCCAATCTGCCTCTAAGAGAGAAGAGTTCTGTTCTGGGTCGATTGGCACCAGAAATGCAAGCTCCTTCCTGTCTCTGATCTTGGAGCATGATTCTTAACCTAGACTCCATGGATTAGCATCATGAGGTCTATGAATTCTCTGAAATTAGGTGCAGCATTTTTATACCTATGAGTTTATTTCTGAAGATACAAGCCATAACTTTTATTTGACTCACTTATGGATATATAACCTTTCAAAACGTTAAGAACCAGTTATAAATAAAGCTTCTTTGCATTCTGGTGAACTACGACGGGACAAAGACCCTCCAGTGGGAACTAGTATGCAGTGTGACATAATACTGTAGGGTGTTGGCTTCTAGTGGCACTGTATCATTTCTACTAGTTTGTGTGTTTTTAGTAGTTTGCACAACACAAAGTAATGAGAAGTAAGCACCCTCTCTGTGGAACACCTGGCTGGTGTATGTGCCCTATCAGTCCTTAGCTGTAAATTTTGAATGCTATTGGTTTTGAACTCTTCCTATTGTATTTCCAATTCTGTTTTGTGCAAACGCAGAAATTTTAAGAGATGTAGTGCTCTTCAAATGCATACTCTGCAAAAATGTCTCGTTAAGTGCTTTCTCTCTCTCCCCACTTCAGTACAGGTACACATTTGTCTATCTAGTTCCTATCCCAATCAAACATAAATATAGAAAGAGACACTGGAGAAATGACTGAGAAAACAAAGGCATTTGGCTGTTAATTTGCAACCCAATATTCATGATCTATCAATCAATTATTGCCCACTTACGATAAGTTAGAATTAGGACAATGTGAGATCGATGCTCCTCGTTCCCTGAACACATCTAGTTCTTCTGCAGAAAGGTAGCAGCCATGTGCCATCACTGTCTGGAGAAAAGAGAGTTCTACATGGAGTTTACCACTGAAAAATGCTTAAGCTAGTCCCAACTCACAACAAGACATTATAGGTACAGATAGAAGTTGTGACTTGCCTGTTACCATCTCACAAGAACATTTATGATTACCTGTCTATATAAATCACTCTGTACAAGCCACATCTCAAAAAGGCCCTTAAAAACATTGGATTACAAAAGTCTCAGCAAATTTGTGGATCTCATCTTTTTTTTTAATCTATAAAATAAGGAGGGTTGGTCCAGGTGGTCTCCAGCATAGGATATCTACCCAGTTTGAAGATATTATGGTTCCTGCATCGTCACTTTAGAAAATAACCAAGTAATTTTCTTTTCTAAGTCTAGTGAACAACTGGTGAGATTGTGCTTATTTCTAGTCTAATCAGAACTTTCTAGAAGTAACCTTCCTTTCTCAGTACATGAAAACTATGGGAATGATTTTGGAAAGAATCGTTCTTTATTTCTGCTCCAGTTAGATATAGATACCAATGGTCTAGACACATATAACCAAACACATGTTAGTTATTTCATCACCAATATTTACATTTTCATACAAATTAGAAAATGTAATATCTTATAAGCATGAATTCAGAAGGTAAAATTGATCCAAGAAGGCAGGCACTGCACATAAAAGACATTTCTCTTTTTAATCTTGCTAATATTTGTAGGTTTTCATGAATAAGACTTTACTCTTTCAAATTCTTTTTCTCTCTGTACAAAACCTGTATCTAAATAGCTTTCTCCTTTGGGAGGCATGGTTCAATGGCCACAAAATTATTATTAAAATATAATTTCCCTAACCTCTATGCAAATAAAATTAATATGCAAATTGAAGGTTAATTTATTAATCATATGGAAATATATGTAATGGAGGATGAAGATTAAAGTGTGACATTTACAAGATTTATGCAGAATATTAACCTTTCAAGTTTGTCATATTCACATCTCCATCCACATAGTCCCTAAGAAGTTATTTGCTGCAATAGTTAAACTCTCTATGCAGTTTGTACATTTTATTGAAGGCCAAGGCCAAATGGTATATCGTTCTAATAAGGTCTCTCCCCACTCATATTAATTTTAATTAATTTAAAATTGTTTAATTATGAATTAATACACACTCATATTTTTAAAAAAGCAATTTCAGTGTTTAGTAATAAAAAGGAAAAAGTCTTTCTTTTATCTCCTTCAGCAAGAATCACTTTTAACATTCAGTGTGTGTCATCCAGACAATTTTTTTCTAAGTAAGCATGTACCCAGATATATACATGTACATCAGACAATATTGTACATTCTTCCTTGTAAGCATGTATGCCTCATTTTTTGTGAATGTTAGATAAAATTCTAATTATGTATGTTCTATAATTAAAAATCCCCCACAATAGGCACTTTTTAATTTTCCTATATAATTAACATTCCTATTCATATTCTTTACAGAATAAATCCTTAGAAATCATCTGATAACTCAAAAGAATGCACATTTACATTCAAATAGATACTAATGAAATATCCTGGATCAAGTGACATTCCCACTCTCAATGAAACCCTTAGATTTATTTACTGGGATGAAACTTCGGGCACGTTTGTAAGTATGTACACACACACACATAAGCACACTCGGAACTTTATTCTATTTGGGAAGTGCACCTGTCATAGAAGACTGAAGATTACTACTGAGATTTAAAAATTTACATAGATTATGTCATAATATGCAATTTACCTTATTTGTCAGAAGATTGTTTTTATCATACACATCTGTATAGTTTTTATAACCAGGGTATAAGTTTTTCACAGCTTCAATTTCATCATGATTTTCACTTATATGGCTCTACGAGAAAAGAAACAATATTTAAAATTTTTAATGTAAAATATCATTAAAAGTTATACTTCCTTCCCCAAAATGATATGAATGGTTTCTACTTGCCTATGTGAGAGACCACATAGAAAGACAATGAAGATTATTCATGTATTTTATTTAAAACAATTATATGTTATATATATAACATAACATATGTGACAAAGAAACTATTAATATGCAGTTACACAAACATGTAATGTTTTAATCCAAGTAATATTTTTCCAACAGAGTCTTTTCAAATTTCAAACTATAGCAGAACAAACAAAAATAAAAAGCATTCTTTAAAAAGAGTTAATAGCCTTGCTGTTTGTGGCCACCTACCTCTTCTGGTGTTGGCTGTTTAAGAAGAGTTCAGTGGCTATCAAAAAGACAGACAGCTTAGTTCACTCATCAAAAAAAAAAAACCTGGAATTTAAATAAAGAGAATTTTTGCCCAAGTTCTGACCTTATGTATCTAAGGCAAGTCAGTTCTTTCTTTTGGGGCTCCTTTTGCTCAAACAAAAAATGTTGAGCTAGATGAGTGATTTTTAAGATTCTTTTAGCTTTGGATATGTTATTCTGATAAAAATTCATACAAATTCAATATGTAAAAGGCATAAACAAGTTGCCTTTCAGGACAAAGCAGTGTTGGGACTCTGGGACCCTGTCCCCATTCTGTCCCCTTTTGGGGCTTCCAGAATGAGTTCTTCTGCAGAAAACAGTTTGACAATAGCTGAGCTAGACAACCCTGCAGTCACCAAGAAAGAGCCCATAAGAAACCACATGCAAGCAAAGTAAGGGAGGCCTGGCTTCCACACCAACCTTTCTCCAGGGCACCACAAAACCTGAGAAGGCATAAATTGTTTTCAAGACATGACACTTAAGTGTAACTATACCAAAACCTAGCCTAAGACAAAAATAATTTCAGACTAACTGGTGGTAAATATATGTTATGGGAAATAATTCATGAGCAAGTTACCACTTCCAAGAATGGCAGTGCCATTCTCCTCTCTCCATGAAGTAGAGTATGCATAAATAGAAGGAAAAAACAGCGGTGTTCTAAAACCAGAATGCCCCATCTATAGGATGAGCTTTACCCCTCGCCTTGAGGGAATCCCAGACCACTAAGAAACACATGGGCATCAGAAGAGAAGAAAAGAAAACCAGATGATATGTGTCATTTTGATAAATGTGAGTGAATACACATACACACAGACATACACCCCCAGCAAGGATATATTTGATTTTGTTGTGTGTTGATGGCGTTCAGGACACACGACCCCGAAATATGGCATCTTGGCATATTGAATTATGTCATATTAAACTGAAGGAGTTTAAGAAAATGGCAGGACCAGGAAGGTCACTCTGACCTTCCCCTATAACTTCTCCCCTGAAACATGTCATGAAACACACATGCGAGAGGTGCATGCCCCTACCCAGAGGAAAGGAGCATCCTTCTTTCTGAAGACAAAGGGAGCCAAGAAGAATCTGAACAAACAGGTCTTGCTAAGTTTCAGTTACTACACTTACCTTATACTCCTTAACCTATCATATTCCCCCATGACTGTGCACTCTTCATCAAACCCAGCAAAAGATACTCAGGTTTAACTGTTTCTCTGGGTTTTCATTTCCTTATGAAGGCTCCTGTGTCATGTAAAACTTACATTAAATATATTTGCATGCTCTTCTGCTGTTAATCTATATTTGTCTAAATAGTTTTCAGACCCAGGCAGGGACATAAGGTCAAGGAAAACTTTTTCCTCTCCTATGATTGTGTGGGATTGAATCAAAAATTAAATATCACAGACTGCAAAAGAAAAGAAAAGAAAAAGAAAAAGAAAAAAAGAAAGAAAAAAGAAAATGGAGAAAGATGAGAATAGTTAATGAGCTCCAAAAAGGTAAATCTTAAAAAAAAAAAGCCTCCACCCTGTGAATGCCCTTCCCCTGACTTGCCCTGTGCTCTAAGATAATCAGCTCTTAAGAAGAAAAATTTTAGCGTAGTATGCAGTAAAGCTTGTGTGGGGGAGGGGAAGCTCTCAACTCCCAATTTTAATCCAGCTGGAAGCTTTAAAATGTGTTTTATCCCTAAATTGCAACTGCTTAATGACAAAGTAAGATACGATTTTTTTGTTCCTGACTTAAATTAAGAAACTTGGAACAAAAGGGCTTTTAGATGCATTTTGTAAGGTAGAAATTAGGTTCATATTGCTTTTCAAATAATAGGTGGTTCCTTCAAAAGTGAAGAACTAGAATGCTGAGAAAACATCAAATAAAAGAGTAGTAGGAAAGAAATGCGTTAAATGTATCCTACAGAGAATAGGTAACCAGTTTGTCATTGATCTCGCTTGATTACTTATGATGTCCTCATTTCTCCAAGCTTGATCAGAGACAACTGAGAAGAACAAGAACTTCAACTTTTTTACCTGAAAAATCAAAGAACTGGATTTACGTGACATCTGTAATGACTCTCCCTGTCCCATGATGCTATATCTTTAGGACATCTGGGTAGATTACTGTCAGAATTTGGGGAATGAGAAGTCTTGCAGGTCTGGACAGATGCACAAACAGGAAAAAAATACCCACCTGAATATGCAAATCGTGGATCTTGGCGATGTTTCCAAGTTCACCCATCAAAGTCTCAGAGCAGGAAAGCGAAAAACGCGGGGTCACGATGGGCTTCACTCTAGAATACTGGAATTAATCAAAAAGAGTTGATAAGGAAACTATAGATATCATGAGTATACAGCACACCCCAAAATGCATATTAAACAAGATGGTTTTATGTCTTCATCTTTGGGGACAGTCCCCCTTCCTAGGAGTGGGTAGAAGTGCTGGGTTTCATGGAAACAACTCATGGCTGAAGACAAAGGAGAGTGCAGTGTATTCTGTAACACCAAGTTGAATGGAAGATCTTGTCCCAAAAGTTAACCATCCCCAGCTCCACATCCACATGAAGGCTTGGATGAGGTCTACACTAGGCTGGCCTTTATGAAGAGAATGGAGAGGCCAAAGAGAACTTTTGAAGGAGAGTGATGAGGAGACTAAAACTGCGGTGGTGACTTTCTAGATCTTGGGGAGGTATGCTGGTCATGGCCTCCTTGAGAGCTGTTTAGTTGAAGAACAGCCTTAGATGTCACCTGAGAATGAGAGGCCAAGCAGGAAAGAAGAACTCATAGAGGGGTGGTAAGAATAAGGATCCACAAAGCTCCACTTAGTTCTCCCAAGATTAGATTAAAAGGAATTCTGAGGTTTCCTATGGTTTCCAATCAGACCATCACAAGATGGTAACGGAAGAGGCTTGTCAATCTAATGGAGCCATGAACCAGCCTGCTGGGGATAGAGGCAAGAAACAGCACTGACTCCATAGATTCACCACCCCCAGGGCCTGCAAAGGAAGATGCCTGATTGAGGGCCTGCAGGCCATGTGACATGCACATATATATGGACCAAGGCAGCCTGTGGCAGGAGCATCAGGGCTGGATACCACCTGTGTTTCAGACCAGATCAGGGAGTACAAGAGGCCAGTGCCAATGGTAACATAGCCAACAAACCATGACTTAATTTCCAGTTGCCACCAATCTGTCCATAACCATGAAGCCTTCCCCACCTCCCCAGAGACCAGTACTATAAAATTAGAAGGTCCCAGAGGAGAGGAGTGGGAAAAGTACTCAGAAAGCAAAAAATGCCTGACCTCAGCAAGCTGAATTGATGGGTCCACTGTGAAAACAATTTAAGGTTCTAAGAAAACACTTCTGCATGCATAGAATAAGCCAAATGCCCACTGATTAATTTCTGCCAAACAACCTAATAACAAATCCTTCGACTGAGGCAAAGGCAATCCCAAAACAAGTGTGGGACAAGTTTACTTACATTCCTTTGGAGCATTTCTGACACAAATCTGAAATAAAGCAACAAATGAGAAATTAGAAAATTTAGGTATTTTCAAATAATTTTTTTAAAAGGATGAAAACATGATTCTTCCACGTCCTATTTTCCATACAAACATTTCTAACACTGCACATGTTTCACCACCACTAATTAAAGATTAACAAGTAGTAATTACTCTGCTTTCTCGTTTGCAGCCAGAGAAATGGAATGCAACATCACAGAGAAATGCAGTTGTATCATTTAACATGAGCTGGGCTGTTCACCAGTATTCAGCACTCAAGCCGGTTTTACCAGCTTAACCTCTGTTTGGGGGAATACTGCATGCAATAAGCTATGCTCCAGGGAAATTAGAGTCCTGGAGTCCTAAGCACCCAGAGGTATGTAGAAGCCATGGGGCTATCTACTCCTAATTTCCCTAAAGTGGAAGCTACTTGCTCACACAAGATCATCATTTATTTCCAAGGGCAGCATCCTACTGGGCCCAGATGTTGGAATAAGGCAGAAGGAAGAGGCCAGAGGTGGCTGTGAAATGAGTGGTGGGGCGGGGGTGGGAGGGGTGATCTTAACCAATTACACCTGCAGGGGTAGTGGTAGCCTTATAACCTGTGAAATGGCTAATTCTGCCTTGGCTGGAAATATTTACTAGCTATAGCTTCCTGCCTTCTGGTATTCTTTTGTTTCAGAATAAAATGTGAATTAAGGTTTACTATGACCACAAATACAAATTCATAGAAAAGTTGAGCAGACAGCCAATGCCAAGGGGAAGGTGCATATTTCTTTCTCTCTGGGAGAGACATAGCAACCTCTAAGCCACACTTTTCAGAGGACACGCTTAAGGTAAAGGGGACGAAAGAAAAGTTGGACTTCTAAAATTTGTATCAGGGTCTGTTTGGTCCTGGGGAAGATTAAAACCTAAAGAAATTTCTTCTATGTACATCTGTTGGAGTTGAGTGCCATATAACATAATTCCTTGTCAAATTCTCAAGGCACCATGAAAAAGTCATTAAGAAATATAGAAAAAGCACTTATAGAATCAGTACCAATGGGTTCAGAATATCCCAATGTAAGATAAAAACTTCAAACCCATATTGTTTAAGAGTCAACTGTAATTTAATGGGCCAGCCACACAGATTTAAAGCAAGTCTGATCTATGGGAGAAGCCCAGATCTATAATAAAGGAGGGAGACAAGGTAAATGATTTATTTCAAAAAAAAAATCCATCATTTTACAAAGAGGTTTACCCTACAACTCTTATAATAAGTTCCCAGAAGTTTTAAAATATAATTTGATATACAAAAATAGTATCCACATGCAATGGATTTTTTTTAGGACCAGACAGATAACTTTCATAAAGTTGGGCAAACCCACACAATGACATATGTGCATATCCCGCCTGGTTCAGAGAGGTTTCCTCTCTCCATCTCCAACTCCATCAGTGCAGCAGAGGGACCGCCCACGAGACAAGCCAAGACAAACCTACCTCTCTGTTTCCTTGACTGATTCCTCGGTGGTTTCCTTGTATTCGGGAACAGTGTCATTTAAATCCATGCAGACTTTGCCCACAAATGCCCGCTGACCAAATTTATCTGTGAGGCACACACATAAAGAATCTAAAGTCATGTTTCTTTGCCATACAGTAGCTTTCCTAGGCCTTTTAAAAACATGTTTAAATTAAAATCAGTATGAAAATATGTGAGAATGTTAAAGATTACCATCATCACACCATTTAAGAACAATAATAGCAAAACCTCACTAAGTTCCCTAAGTAGTAAATATTCTTCCATCTCTCACTCCAACCACCACTTCGCCCACCCCCACACCCAGGCTGGCCAGGTAATAATTGGGTGTTTTTCACTTATTACTCAGCTTAGATAATTTGTCTATATTTTTACCCAAGTCATGATTATCCCTGTTCCCATTTTTTTTGCATGAAAAGAAAGGGGACAGCCTCAGACCCTAGGGAAACACTCTGCTAGACCTTGACATATCTACATCTTTTTCCTTCTTTCTTCCTTCCCTTTTTTTCCCACTGCTCACAATCTCCTTCCTATCTCCTGCCCTACCACTCTCCAGTGAATTGAACCCTACTCTATATTCTTTGTCTGATCTGTAGAAGAAGTAGCAAGGCCTAGTAATAATAAAATGGGCACTGAAGTTCAACAGATTTGTTTGGATTTGACTCCTGATCCTTTCGATTACTTCCAGATGGTGGATATTATCTGTTTAAGGTGTAAACTTATACATGCAGGGTTATGAGGAATATACTCAGTAATGTGCATAAGTGGCTCATAAGTCTTAGAAAAAAGATACTGCTGCTATTCTTAACAATAGCAATAGCAATACCAATATTATTACCTGTGAAGAATTTTATTTAGTCCTACTAGCAGTTCCCAGCACTAAGAACCTTGTCCTCATTAGAGGTGCTAGAGGAATTCTGTTTTAGCTAGAAAGTTGAATTGGCATTGGGCAATGCTATTATTTTTTTTTACAATGTCTCCACCTCTGTCATAG